ATTATGAAAGCACAACAGAATGTTAGTATTAATAATAATAATAATAATAATAATAATGGTTTACTCTTTCTCTTTGGATGTAAAGGTCAGATCCAGGTGGTTGTATAAAGACTGTCAGCTCTCCTTCATCGCTGATATCCTCATCTTTAACTTGCTGAGAGAGAGAGAGGGAGGGAGAAAGAGGGGGGGGGGGAGACAAAGACAAAGGCACAGAAAGGGAGGAAGAGAGAGAGAGGGGAGAAAAGGGTAGGAGACAGACACTACAATTAATTTTACACTAATTAAAATAGTTACAAGTACATGCATTTAAAATTTCTCAACTTTCCCCCAATGTGCCATTATAACAATAAATCCCTTATAGAGTAATTCCTGCTTTCCTACACCAACACACCTCTACATAGAACTAAGACAAAAAGCAACAAGAATGACTGAAATGAAGGAAATACTAACTATTAATAAACTACATGCGTATATTCCACATTTTTTAAGTGACTGAGCGTGAGTGAGGGAAAATACCGTGAGCTCATTATGCTAAGATAATGTACATACAGTGTACATACTTGTTTATTCTTTATAGACAACAGTTCAGGTAATTATAATGAGGTCTGCAATCTAATACATGTATATGTACATGTACATATGTACATAACATTATGATAATGTATGTCTCTTAATGCCTGTTACTGTATACAAGTAAATGCAGGAACCAAATCACTGAGTGGTGGACATTAATTAGAGTATAAAACTTAAGTTGTAGTCAGGGCTGCTGAGAGCTTTGGAGGGGCCCAGGAAAGGGAATTGTGGTGTGCGAAGCGCGCCGAAAAAATTTGCAGTTTTAATTATATTCATAGTGGGTGTGGTCAAAATTAATTAATTTTTACCTGCACGCATGATAACATGCACTTTGTCTATTGAATTTTAACTAGCTAGGAAGATTGATTTTGATGAAATCATAACTTTTTGCTTGGCAAAAGGCCAGAAGGGCCCATCTTCTGTAATAATTTTGTTTAATTAAGTTCTTAGAAAATTTCTTTGGGGCCCTTAAAATTGTGGGGCCCAGGGCATTTGCCCCTTTTGCCCCCCCCCCTCTCAGTGGCCCTGGTTGTAGTGTCTTTAGATGCTTATAACTTGGAAATTATCAGTCGGAATCAGCTCAAACTTGCTACACAGCATAAGGACATCAATATGTATCAGAAAATGTAATAAAAATTTGGGGTGATTTCGGAGCCATTTTTTGAAAAAAACCATTGGCTATAGCCTTGGGTATTTTCAGAATTTTGACGTTTTCTTAAAATGGCCATAACTTGAAAAATTGAAGTCAGAATCACCTCAAACTTTCTACACAGCATAAGGACATCAATATGTATCTGAAAATGTAATAAAAATTTAGGGTGATTTCGGAGCCATTTTTTGAAAAAAAACATGGGCTATAGCCTTGAGTATTTTTCAGAATTTTGACGTTTTCTTAAAATGGTCGTAACTCAAAAAATATTTGTCAGAATCAACTCAAACTTTCTGCAGAGCATAAGGACATCAATATGTATCAGAAAATGTAATAAAAATTTGGGGTGATTTCGGAGCCATTTTTTGAAAAAACCATGGGCTATAGCCTTGGGTATTTTTTAGGATTTTGGCGTTTTCTTAAAATGGCCGTAACTCGAAAAATTGAAGTCGGAATCAGCTCAAACTTGCTACACAGCATAAGGACATCAATATGTATCAGAAAATGTAATAAAAATTTGGGGTGATTTCGGAGCCATTTTTTGAAAAAAAACCATTGGCTATAGCCTTGGGTATTTTCAGAATTTTGACGTTTTCTTAAAATGGCCATAACTTGAAAAATTGAAGTCAGAATCACCTCAAACTTTCTACACAGCATAAGGACATCAATATGTATCTGAAAATGTAATAAAAGTTGGGAGTGATTTTGGAGCCATTTTTTGGAAAAAAACCATTGGCTATAGCCTTGGGTATTTTTCAAAAATTGGCCGTTTTTAAAAATGCTCATAACTCAAAAATTATTCGTCGGAATCAGCTCAAGTTTTTTCATAGCATAAGGACATCAATATGTATGAGAAAATGTAATAAAAATTTGGAATGATTTAAAAAAAACATGGCTATCAAATTACATCCAAAAACAGTGTCCCAATCAGTGTGGATTCACTTTCAAAAACATGACTAAACTGGCTCCCAAAATAAATTCTTACAACAACAGTGAAGTAAGCATAATCATTACTGAATAATTATGTCATAAAGTGTCGCATAATCCAAATTCTTTTACATAAGGACAAGAGAGTAATATTATACACGCCATATTATATTAATTACATGTACGCTATACATGTACATGTACATGTACCGTAATGAGATTAATAGGCGGAAAGAGTACATGGAACATTTTAATTATTTGAGTACATGTTTCCAAAAGGAATGATGTCATAGTATTAATTATTACTTAATAACCATTACCTAATTACTTAATTAACAGCCAGTTATTAGTTCTGTTTTAAATTGAGTAATTGGATTAATCAAGAGTTGGATTAATTAATTGCAGGTAAATCAACTACCAAATACATGTATTGCTAATATCCTTTACTTTCTGCTTTAATTGGGTCACATGAAGAAGACGGCACGAGAAGAGGTGTGGCACAATTTTCTAGCTTTAGATTAGTGCTAGGATTAGGGTTTAGGTTTTTTATTTACCCACACCCCTTTCACAGTGCTGTCTTCTTTATGTGATCCCTTTAACTTTTGTATCCCTTACCAAAGTGATTACATAATTATGGAACAATATGTATACATAATGATCCTCTACGTGCTATATACAAACAAAAATTAGTTGACTCTAACCCATTACATGCAGTATCTCTTTTTACTTACAATAGACATGCTTCTCTTAGAAACTTTGTGAGAAACAAGCGAGCATTAAACGTTTATACTATGAAACAGAACAGCACAATACTACAATAAACCACGCCCAGTTTAAACTCTCCTCCTACTTTAATTAATAATGTTTTGCAAAAAGGTGTGGCAGTGTGGAAGTGCATGCAAAAATGGAAGACAGCAATAATAAAATAAAAACTAAGTGAATGTACAATAAAAATATTAAATTAATTAGGAAGCATCACGAATGTGACCTTTGAGCTGCATAAAGCGACTACAAAAAGAAAAAAATAATTTTATATTCAACAGTTTATATGCATACTTCATAACTTTGCCATAATTTATTAGCAATAGCTTGTGATGGGTCAGTGCCATGATCAATTAGA